ATGCAAAGTCACTGGAACGGACAAAATCAAAAGTTTGGGGACACTTGGTATTTGTTTATTTACTTTTTGAACAGAACACACCAGTGGCATTAGAAATTTTGTGCACAAATATTATATAGAATTTTTAAAAGCCATTCTGACAGAGAAAAAGAAAGAAAAACAGAAGAGAGGAAAAAACAACAAACATTAAACAAACAAATTCCAATCAGATAATGCAGTACAATGATGTTCATGATGGGTGTTACCAGTTTATCTTTATATTAATGCTCTAGACATTATAGCATACATACATATATATGTTTATATTTACATCAATGTACTGTGAAAAAAGCGTTCCATATTTTATTATAAACATCTGTTCTTTTATGCAAAGGGCAGGTCAGAAAGTCCAGAGGGACTGTTCCATAAATATTCTATGCCATATTTTGATATATTTTCTAGGGAGACCCAAGACAAATCAAGCTGAGTTTCTCCCCTATTGTCTCTATTTCCTGTGTGTCTCTCCAGGGTCTCTGCTGTTTGGGGTCTGACTGGAGTCAGTGAGTGAGGCTCCCAGACTCTGAGAGGCTCTGTTTTGGGGAAGAGTCTCCTCGGTTTAAGATCTGAAGTTGAGAAGCTCTTGGCTGATGACGTTGTACTTTGATATATGAATATAAAGCTTTACAGTCACCTCATAAAGTCCTGTACTTGAAAATGACGGACAGTGTAATTTCTGGATGTATCATATTTTCCACCCCATGATTAATCGCCTTTAACACAGGGTTATCAATCACATAATACAAAGACAAAAGTCCCTTAGACCCACGACTTAAACCCCACATCCAGTAAATCCCACACCTAATCAGGATTATGAATGATCAGAGTGAAACTGGGCTGCAACAATATGACAATTTCAATAAACAATACGTATTGAGATGTTTCATCACAATTTAATGTAGATTTAGAAAAGAATGATAATATTACTTTGACATTTATTTTTCTAGTTGCTTATTTTTAAATTCCAAAGACAACAGTGCTTGTTGAAGGAATAACTGGCACAAGTCATTTTCTTAGAAGATAAAATAAATAAAACATAACGTAAACAAAAGAGCAAGATGTGTATTACATGTTGCTAAGACCAGATGCATCTGGCAACACGTGTTATTATTGCTCGTGTAACCGGTGGACGTTGATACCAAAGCCGCCGATGGACAGAGACACTCTGAGTGGTGTTTGGTTTATTCTGATAACAGTGCAGCCTTTAGTGTTGATTAGCGAGCCCCTCTCTCCTCTCCTCAACTCCTCATGAGACAGACGTCAAAAGGAGCCGACAAAGCTTACAGCAAAGACAACAGAACTCAATGATTACAATTCAAAACCCACAGCTGATTAACGGTAATAATAACTTTTTTTCTATACAAATAAGACGGGTGCGTTTACTAATGACGTCACTCTACTGCGCTCCGCTCCGTTAGTATAAACGAAGTGCTTAAGAGAATATTTCACATAGTTTATCTTCTTTAACAACTTTGTACATAAAATTTTGCATATTTGATAATAGAAATAATACAGCCTCTAGTATTGGTTAGTACACCCCCCCCCCTCACCTCATACGAAAATAATATAAAAGAATAAGATTACCTGACTAGTATATGGCTCATGCTGTGCGATAAAAAATATATATATATATATATAATATATATATATATATATATATATATATATATATATATATATATATTAAGGGTGTGGGAAAAACTTGATTCTTAGATGCATCGCGATGCGGACGTGAACGATTCTGAATCGATTCACAAATGTCAAAAATCGATTTTCTAAATATTTCATTTATAACGTAATGTTGACGGAACGCAAAAGGCGGAACTGGAAGTGGGTAAGTGCAGCGCCCGGACAGTCTGTGGCGGCACATAACAAAAACACTACTGGATGGGTGAGAAATCCGACCAGCTCCCTCTGCATTAAAGGCAGGTTAGGTCAGGAGTCACAACCCAAATGATAAGAAGAGCCGTTTTGTCCTTTCAACAGAAATCAAACCAGCTTGGGAGCCACAACATTTAATGCCCAGTATGTGTTAATGTCGTAATATGGGCTAAAAATATAAACGAGAGCGCAGATTTACTCCGCTCTGCTTTAAGCTTTAGCTTTAGCCGCTTTCCTCCCATCTCCGCCAGAAAACCTTTCCTCAAAACTAGAAGAGTTTCTTGTAAAATGTCTCAGCGTCCGGCTGTTTTACGAGGCTGAAGTCGCTTCTCATTCGCCAGCTTCTCGTTCTAATTTTCCCGTTCCACCTTAAATTCTGCCTTAGGCGCCGAATGTAACTGCTGCACCATTTAAGGTGGAACGGGAAAATTCGAAAGAGAAGCGAGTTCATTTTCGCAACTTTCGCAACAGTCTCTCAGCAGATTTAACCAACTGCGCTGCTTATAAATGCGAATAAGTCTCCAGATGTTCGTCTTAATCTGTGTTTTTTCGTTCGCTACTGGCGAGGCCAGACCTCGGGGCTGTGTGACCTGCTGTCTGCTGTCTGTTCTCAGTCGTTGAGAACCAGGGCTTTCGCGCTAAGCTGCACACTTTGGAGCAACACTTTGGGGACGTCCCAACTGTCCAGCACCACTACAGGCTGTATAATGGAGAAGTTTGTGTAGCTGTAACAATAAATCAAATTTTGATTTTTAACTCTGTTAAACTTACACTAGTAAAAGTAAACAAAAACTGTGCACTGTAAAGCCACCTCTACTATAAAAATATCTCAAAATAAAACAAACTGAGCTTCATTCACAGTCAGGTCTTGTGTTTTTGCGTATAAAGTGTGAGTCTTAGCTTCTGGCTTTTCTAACGAGTGTCTCAGTCACTCCTAGTAAACTGTGGAATCCACTACTGAACAGAGGTGGACGCAACAGCTGGTCAGCTATTAGAAGCTGTTAGCATCGCTGTCAGTATGACTTGTTTGACTCGTTGAGATTCAGCGCTCGGCAGCTGTTTGAACCCTGAGTGGATGAATAACAGCTGTGTGTTTTCTGTTCACTCCGGTAACCGAGACATTTGAGGCACTCTTCACAAATGAACTGGCGTATTTGAGGTATTAACACAGATATTTAATACTGCGAGTTCGTGTCACTTCATTTTCTCTGCTGGCCATTTCAAACAGCCTGTCTAATCAACCATCCAAGGTGCTGAAGTTCACCTCCTAATTCCCCAGAGTGTAACTGCTGCAGCGTTTACAGTGGAACAAAATAAAGTTTGGGTAAGAAGCTGGTGAATAAGATACTAACTTCATATATCAGGAACATAGTGTTTAATAGAGCTGTAGAAACTGTTCCTGTTATCATGCATTTAATAGCATGAAATGAAGGTGTATTTGATTCACAGTGCATCGTCGGGACACCCGTATCAGAAAAAACGAATATTAGCGTGCGTGTTGTGACCCCCCTACAGTGAAAACAAGTTAATGAAGTTCTCCAGACAGTCCTTCACACTGCTCTCCCAGTTTTGTCTGTGTTGACGGTTACTGGGTTATTATAGGTGCCTTTAAGCAAATCCCTAAGAGGGAATTTTGAATGAGATGCTTCAATATCCACCCATTTAGAACAGCCTTCATCACACATCAAATGCTCTTTATAACAGGTGGGCACTTAATTGAGGCCCCGACCTTCCCTCGACTCTTTTAGCTTAGACGTCTTAATTTGTGGTCTCCATTTATTCCAGATAAACACACTAACCAGCTGTTCACTGTTCAGACTGTCTAATGAGTGAATGTTTTAAACTGAGTTCATTTGGCCAAACCAAGACGACAGAAGTGTGTTCCCCCTCACGAGGTCTTGTCTGATTTTGTCAGAGGGTTAAAATTGTCTGGTTTCTGTTCAAATTTTACTGTCATAAAAACGCCCAGATATCCTGAAAGAGACCATTGGAAAGGAAATGGTTGGGAGTAATGAGGGTCTGCAGCTTACCTAAAGTCTCATCCTCAGATTTAGAGAAGTTACCGTACCAGACAAAGTGGTAGTTTGAATGAACTGCAGAACGTCTTCAAAATGTTTTTAACGAATAAACATGTTGTCTTTGTCGACTCACAGTAATTTAGCGTATTACGCAGAAAGCTGTTTAGACCGTTTTCTTTGAAAAACTGCAAAACTGAGGGAACGCCTGCCAAAAGGAGGCCTTGGGAAAAAATCCAAAGTCGTGGCATTTTATCACATTGTTGTGATGTCAGCAAACAAACCTTTCAGGTGTTTAAACCACCTTTGGGGTAAAAGAGTCCAAAGAGAATTTAACATGTTGGAAAAAATGAAACGTAAAATGTGGCCTGTTAAGTTTTTAATGTTTTGTACAACATGGACAGCATGAATTTATCAGCACAAACAGAATTTTCTCTAAAATCCACAGAAAAATGAATGAAAAGGTAACAAAAATGTATTATTATAGCGAGTCTTGGTCGTCACACGATTCGAACAAATATTTAACGAATAGCACACTTGATTTAACGCAACGAATCGTTGATTAGCCGAAACATGTGATGGAACATGCCATGAAGAGAGGTTTAAAAATGGTCATGAAACAAAAAATCACTGCTTATTGTGTAAATATTCACAAACAGTGTTGTAATGTTCTTTATTAAAACATTCTTTATTATGTGGCCTATGCAAAAATTATATTTCATGTTTAACTTGTAAATATATAGAAATTGTGCAGACGAATGTCATAATAAATGAATGAACATATTTTCACTTTGAAGATTAAAGCGTATTATTTGGGCGTTTGAACTTTTGGAGATGTTTTCTTACTTTAAATGTTCTTCAGCTGCTGCTGTTGCTGCAATGTACTGTAAAGCTTGTCCAACCTGGCAACAGTTGCTATGACGGATTTGTGTGGTAAATATGTGCAGGTCAGCTGAAAAGTAGCAGCCATCCTGTCCCCCAGACGTTGGACGGGCAGCTTGTGTGTCAAATCAAACAGGAGAAAAAGATCTTACAGTGTTTTTTGTTGTGTTTTCCTGTGTTTCCCAGCTCACCCTGGTGTGTGTCTGTCCGAGCCGTGCGTGAGCGTGGCTGCTTCGGTGATGGCCGCTCTGGACCGCTCGGTGGACCCCTGCCACGACTTCTATAACTTTGCGTGCGGCGGGTGGGTGAAGAAAAACCCCCTACCTGAGGGTAAATCACGCTGGGGGCCGTTCAGCAACCTGTGGGAGCACAACATGGCCGCCATGAAGAGTTTGCTGGGTGAGTTGTGGCTAAACGCGTTTAGAGAGTTTGGTGACAAGTAGGATTTAGACGTTTTCTCCTTCAGATCAAACGTAGTCCAGACATGTTTGACGTCCAAAGTTTGCATCTTTAGTTTTGCACTGGAGCTGTGAGGCAGTGGTTCAACCTCAGCAGCTCGCAGACTTGCTAAGTAAGACCAAATTCAGGCTTCTTCTGTTTTGCCTGTGTTTAGGCAGGTGAGCTAAATTAGCCTTGAAACTCCAGTACAAAACTAAAGAAAGCAAACTTCAGACTCCAGCCTTGCCTCGGCTGACGGGCTAAACTAAGTGGTAATATCTGAAGCTGCTTCAGGACAGTGAAAAAGATCATTTCATTGAGGCTGTTTTAACCGCACTGTGTTCCCCCCAGAGAACGCCAGTCAGCAGGGTTTGAGTAAAGCAGAGCTGAAAGCAAAGCGCTACTATCAGGCCTGCATGAACGAGGCCAAGATCGAGGAACTGGGTGCTCGACCTTTACAGGAGCTCATCAGCCAGGTAAACACGCTCACTCAGAAACTGCGTCTGTTCCATACCGGCCAGTGTTAACTAGGGATGCACTGAAATTTCAGCCTCCAAAACTCTTCTGCAAACAATGCTCTTCAGGTTTTTGGCCAAAAAGAGAAAAAAATGTTACATTTTGCCTGAAAAATACAGAAGATTAAACAGGACTGCAACAAAGTGTCAAAAGCCAGGAGTTCACAAATCATTTTAATGGTATTAAAACGTGAAAAAACGATTTAAACACTTTGGGTCTTACGTTCTCCTGTAAACACAAATAGGTTCAAACAGTTTGAGCAGCAGATCAACAGTCTAACGCGCTGGTCGAGGGGAACTACTTTACAGTTTCTATGAGGGACTTTAGACGGTTTAAATCACTGTTCATGTTCAGTATCAAGACAACACACAAGAACCTCTCCATTACGTGTTTAATACCACTGAAATATATGACGTCTCACTCGATACGCTGAATACACGAAACAACGGAAGCAGGAGGGAAAGTTCCTGTTATCACACTAAAACCATCTGTAGCCTCAGTTTCAGAAATGAGAGAGAAAAAGAGCAAAATAACTAAAAATAATGGAACTCAGGGCCTTGTGGTGGATGTTGGATTTAATGGCGCTACTTACTGTAGTCATTTTAGTGAGTTTATTTATGTAAATTATTAATGCTCAGCTCAGTTTTGTCTTATTGAAAGCAGATTTGATCAAGAATAAAGTGAGTTTCCTGTATTACCTTGTAGCTTTTATGTTTAATATGTTTATTAAAAAGTCTTTTGTTTTTTCGGTGAGGTGTGTCTTGAATATAAGCCACAGTTATCACTGTCACGATGGAGGCGTAGAGGCTGGACTCATGCACGAGTTGCTTTTATTACAAAATCAAAACTTAACAAAGTCCAAAAAATCAGAATAGCGAAGGTTCCAGAAAAGAAACAAATCCATAAAGCAACAAAACCAGAAACCAGGAAACAAACAGAGAAAATGCGAGACAAAGACTAAACCAGACACGGGGGTATAAATACACAGAGGGAAAACAAGCAACACCTGGGAAGAACGAGAGGGCGGAGCTACAGACAGATGAAGACAATTACAAGGGGGCGGGACCAGAGAGGAGACCAAACCAAAGTAACAACAAACGCACACGGAAAAACGTAAAAAAAGCACATGGCTTAAACAGGGAAGACAAAACTGGGCAAGATATTCCAGTCACCAAATATTTTTACTTAATTTTCTCCAGAACTTTGATAAATTTAGTACATTTGACCTCTTTAACTCCTCGAGACCACCGGTGGGTCCAAAACGCACTTCATCATATTCTTCATAACGTTCATATTTCATAAGCTGCATTCTAAAGGTGGGGGTCGTATGAGAGCTGTAACTGTCTTCTTTCCAGTCAAATAGATGGTGATGTAATTTTAAACCCTTATAATAAAAGAAACTGAACTCAGTTTTTTTTCTACTGAAAGTCGACCATTTTTTTCAACTGGATCTCAGATGGCGTCTCTTCAGTGATCTGCTCTGTACAAATTATTTTTATAAAATAATACAAAGAGCGTCTAAGATTTTTGGCTTTCAGCAGTAAATTGTAAGCATATAGCAATATGTGTATCATAAAACACATGTTCTGTTAATTTGAGGGGAACTTTTACAAAAAATAAATAAATAAATAAAATAAAAATGTATATTTATTTCATGCAGTTACTGAATAATTTGCCTCACGATTTGGTCATGTGAATTCAGATGGACAAACCAAAGTATACCCTGGTCAATAAGAGGTTACTTGTTTACCAAACTGGGGGGGTGAACATTAGCATGTGTTTCCTCCAAAGTTAGTGAAGCCGGCCACTGCATTTTTTCAAACCTCCACTAATTCAAGCTCTCTGGAGGGCAGATCCGTGTAGCTTTACCAGGGACTGAGCTCGTAATCTCCAGACAGCGTGGCTGAGCTTAGAGGATGTTACAGATAAAGAAAACATGCTGAAGACATGGTGCAAAGCCGAGTGTCACAGCAGCTCCCTGAAAAAGCCTGATTTGGGTGCCGTGCTCTGAGCCTCTGTTCGTGTACCTGCCTCTCATTGTTTTAATAACCCACTGTGTTCCCTCAGACGGGCGGCTGGGCTCTGACCGGCTCCTGGGATAAAGAGAATTTCCAGGAGGTTCTGCGCGTCGTTTCAGCCAATTACCGAACATCACCCTTCTTCACTGTATTTGTCAGCACAGACTCCAAAAACTCCAACAGCAACATCATCCAGGTGTGTCTGTCTCTACATCCTTCTTCATTATTGTCCCGGGAGCTGAGCTGCTGAAGTCAGAGGAGCAGTTAAGCTGGTTTTAGCAGTTCGAGTTTCAGGTCAGGGGATTATAATTCATTGTGCCGTCATGTTGTTCACTCAGATCCTTTCTGTGGCTGTTCGTAGTTTTCTTTGCCTGAACATCTACCTTAGATCCAGGAGTGGAGCGACTGCAGGTTAACGGAGTCGAAACTTGCTTTTTCTTTCCCACAGGTTGATCAGTCTGGGCTGGGTTTGCCTTCACGAGAGTATTATCTCAACAAGACAGCCAATGAGAAGGTAATTAGACAAAGGAGTTTTATAGCAATTAAAAATAAATGTCACGTTTGATTCTGATGGTCTCATAAGGCTGAAGCACAAATGCCCAAGTAGTTAACCAACTTAACTGGCCGTTCTGAAGTTAGGTTTAGAGTTAGGTTCAGGGTTAAGATTAGGTTTTAAGGGTCAGGGAGAATGTTTGGGTTAGTCTTGGACAATAACGTTGACTCGAGTAGTGAACCACTTAGTGTACTTCAAATACATTTCTCAGGAATGTGTTTCTCCGGTGTGTAGTGGTAACTATAAAAGCCCTCGTGGGTAAAATAAAAAAAAAATTAAAAAGTGCATTTCTGAGTCTAAATTCCACTTTTCTGCCTGTATAACACCCTAAAAAACTACATTACATTTCAGTCAACTAAACCTTTCTCTAGACAGATACATACTTTATTGATCCTGAAGGAAATTTAGCAGCTAGTAGCAATCACACAACACAGGACAGTTATAATAATAATAATAATAATAATAATAAAAATAATAATAATAATAATGCTGTATGAATAATAGTAATAATAATAACAATAATAATAATAATAATAATAATACTGTATGAATAATAATACTGTATGAATAATAATAATAATAATAATAATAATAATAATAATTAATAATCCTGCCTTCTGCCCAATGACAGCTGGGATAGGCTCCAGCACCCCACCACGACCCAGAAAGATAAGCGGTTTAGATGATGTATGTATGTATGTATAATAATACTGCATGAAACAAAAATATTGGCTAACACTTTGCATGATACCCCGCCTCTGAGCAGCTGGTATTTTCCTTATATTGACCATGTGAAAAAATTACTTAGCATTAACATGCTAATTGTTAGCCAGTTAGCACCCAGTAATTTTTTTACCTTAAAAAAAAAAATAGAAAAAAGCTGGTATAATAAAGTGTTAGCTAATATAAAGTGTTAGCCAATATTTAAAAAAAAAAGTATTTGAAAAAAATATAAAAAATAATAATAATAATAAGGTTTTCGATGTCTGAAATTATACAAATAATGCTAGAAATATTTATGGGCTATTTTTGGCCTGTTTGGCCTTTTAGCCTTCATGGCTTTCTTAAGTACCGTCAGAACAGTCGTATGAAAAGTTAGGGTGCCGTGGTCAAATTACATGTTTTGTTAAATTATAAAAATAAGTTACACATCCTCTACAGAGACAAGTTTTAGTGCACAGTGTGTTCATTTGTTAAGTTTCCTTATATGAAAGTTTGTGTACTGAACGGCCCTCTTGGCAACGCCACAGGGCAGTTATTCCCAGTCCTACAAGACCCGACCCCTCTGTGGATGGAGAGAGACCCCTAAACCCCAAACCAAACAGCACATTAATGTGGAAATAAAAACATTTCAAATTGCTGATAAAATCTAAGAGAAATATCATAAATGGGTGGTAAACATTTGGCACAAAGTATCATTTGGATCAAGCTGATTGGCTGTTCTTCTTGAAGGTTGGAACTTTTCTCATAAATATGAGCAATATTGAGCTTTACAAACGTTCCCATTCATTTTTTCCAGCCAGTCTCCAGTCTCCTCCTTTACAATGTCTCAGGGTTAACATAATAGAATAAAACATAAAATATGCAAAAGTTATGGCACACTTCATATTTTCTGTTTTATTAATGTATAGAGTAGCTGTGCATTAAAATGTGCAGAGGTGTGTTCAGTAGAGGACTTGTAACTTATTTTCACTTAGGCAAAACAAAGCATGTCATTTGACCAGGGCATCCAAACTTTTGCTTGCGACTCTACGTATTTTTTCAGTCAAGTAGCAGGAAAAGCTATAGACGCCACACTGTGATCCCTCAGCAGCCTTATAGTGATAAAAAGATAAGGTTAGAGGCCAAAAAGCTACAGATCACAGTCAAAAAGTGAGAAGTTTAATCAAACAGCAGTCAAATTCATGCAAATAAAAGAGATGCTTTGTTCCTGAACCGCTGAGCTGCTAAATTTGTGATTATATGTATTTTACAGATAATATTTAGAGCTAATTGGCATCTGTTCAAACGGTGCATTACAGTTCAAACACAATGAACTGAATGTCACCTGGGAAATTAAGGAAAATACAACAAAAAATAAATAAATAGCTATTTTTACACTGTATAAACTGTATATCGCTACTGTCAGAATAAAACCTCGTACCTCCATTTTTGACGTTTATCCATTTTTGACAGTGTTTCTCTTTACATTGTGTGTAAATTTCATGCTGAATGGACCAAAAGAAGCGGCTCAAAATTACTTGGAAAAAAGTCTGGTTCCATTGACTTACAGTAAAAGTAAAGTATGTTCTTTCCGTCTCCTGTAAAGTTACCATTTTGGAGATACGAGGTTTTGTTCGATATAGAGACATGAGTGAGTTTCAATCCTCACCATATTATTAGGGTTTTTGTCCAACATCCTTCATTATTCTAAAATATTATGTCTGCAGTATCTGAAAGCGTATCTGGACTTCCTGGTAGAGCTGGGGGGGCTGCTGGGCGGGTCGCAGGAAACGACCCGGCAGATGATGCAGGAAATAGTGGATTTTGAGACGACTCTGGCCAACATCACTGTTCCTCAAGAGGAGCGCAGAGACGAGGAGCTGATCTACCACAAAATTCAGGCCAAAGAACTATCAGTGAGTCACACTGGGCCGTTAAAGTGATAGTTTGACCCAAAATCAAATTTACAGTTTTCCCTCTTACATCATCGGCAGTCAGTCAGCCAAGATTAACAGTGTCTAAAGTTTGTTTAATCAGTTTTAGACTGGAACTACAAGGCTGATGTAGCTAAGAAGCAATGAAATCTCACTCTACCAGTTTATTAAATCATCACACGTCAACCTAAAGTGGACAAAATGGACATTATTAAGGCTACTATTACTGTTTTTAGGTATCGCTGTACTTTTGTCCATTTTATAGATTAGCACTATGTTATGCAGCGTCAGAAACCACATAAGCGCGTCTTTCTGAGGGTCCTGAACAACTCTGCACAGTTTGTGGCGAGAGTGTGATGATTTAACTGGAGTACCTCCGTTTCCATGGCAGGCCTCGTGGTCCAGCGCAGAACTAAAGAATTAGACGTGTCTTGGCTGATCGACTGTAAGAGGTAAATTCTGTGGGTCTGATAATTTGCAGATCTCTCTAACAGCGTGTGTGTGGATCTGTGCTCACCCCATAGACTCTGGCTCCTGCTGTGGACTGGATGCCGTTCCTCAGAGCTGTTTTTGCACCTGTTGCTCTGAATGATTCAGAGCCTGTGGTGGTCTACGCTACAGAGTACCTGCAGAAAGTTTCCAGCCTCATTACCAACACCAGCAAGAGGTAAACTCGCCACCTGCCACCAGCAGCTGGAACATCACGAGGATTTTTCAAAGTCGAATTCTGTCGTTGTGATGTTGATAAAGTCAGTTGGAGTGGCCTGATGGGAAATGTACCGATATGCTCTGTAGAGAAGCTCAGAGTTCTTTTCAGTGGTTTTAAGGTCTCCAACACAAATACAGCCATTTTATTTACCATCCAAATGGAAAATACAAGCGAATCAGTCTTTCCATCGAACACTGTTTCGTGCAAATTCCTGTTGTTGATGTTACACGCTGTGAATAAGTGTGGCGTATGCAGTGGAGATGTGAGCCTTTATGATCTCTCTGTAGAGCAGTTCTCTGTCAGCAGTATAAGGCTGTAACCGAGTGGAGAGAGCGGTAAAGCGCTGAGCTGTTTTCAGCTGAGAGGCAAGTTTCACCAGATAGCAGCCAGTCAGATTGTTCAAGAGAGAGTTTTGTGAGGTAAACATTTTGGTTTGCTGTAATGTAAATGCAGCATGACAGTTCAGAGACTCGAGGCAGAGCCGCTTCGCTGTCACCCACCAGAGCCGTTCCACTGGGGGCAAACAGTTCTGAGAGTTTCTGTCACCCTTTTTTCGCATCCCAATCCAATCCCAGAGGACCATATTAAAAAATCTCATCAAATCTGTGGGCCAGAGAAAAAATGTTTTTATTTTAAATATGTTTATATTTGAATATTTCATTCATGTTGTGCTATAAACCAAACTGGTCATGTTTTATTTAAATATGCAAAAAAAGTAAACAGTAAAATACAGATACTTGTAGTAGACCTTGAAATATTACATGGACACCAGAAATATTCTAAACGTCCCCAGGAGCTCGTCTTTTAAACCTGACTTTCTCCTCGGACTGGACTCCGGGCATCTTCTCTTTGCTGAAGGTTCATTATTGCCTGGGCTCAGTTTCTGAGCTGCTGAGCTGAGGTTGTGTTTATTGGTTGAGCTGAAATGCATTTTGGTGATACAACTGGTGTGAAATTGTGTAGAATTGAGGTGTAACCGCCGTCCCATAGATTGTTGTTGGGGTGGTAGAGTCGGAGCGCACGTTACGTTGCAGTGCATGCTGGGGACTGTAGTGCAGCGCATTGTGAAACGAGCTAATTTTAATAGAAAATTCAAATACTTTTGTGGCTTCTGGTTCCTCTCACCACCACTGTTCTACCACAATTCTGACTCGGTGCTCATCTCTAGAAGAGCACACTTCCCAGCCGCTCACTCTGAGTGACTGTTTACATCTTAACGATTAAATTATGCAGAAATTTGGAAAAGTCTGTAGAATTCCCCTCTGAATGAGTTTATGTTAAATATCAACCTTTTATTATAAACCCCTGCTTTGTTCGTCCACTCAGGGCCATTTTATGAGCGCCACCTACCTTATAGGGTCAGTATATCAGTGTATAATTACAGGACGTAGCTCATCTGCTGATGTGTCAGTTTTCTGACTACAGAGCCTCTCGTATTATTAGTGTGTGCAGCATCAGAGTGTCACACACAGCAGTGAAGCTGGTGATGTTACACACATCAGTGTCACTGCTGGGAGTGGTCACCACCCAAAAATACCCAGCCATGAGCAGCTCTGTGGTCAGAAACTGACCAGTGGTGAAGGACTGGAGGGTGAAACTGTGCATCATCAGATGGACTACAGTCCCTAGCTGTCTATTAGCAACGTGGAGCTACAAGAGTGTCTAATACAGTGACCAATGAGGTCTTAGGAGAACTTACTGCACAGTCATATATGATTGTGCTGTACATTTGAAATGTAATTATGTTATGAATGAACTACATTTAGGGTTATAGCAATAAAATAATCACAATATTATCACAACAGCTGCAGCTGTTCTCAGAGTCGGGCGTATAAACTGCTGTTCTGACCTTTCCTGATGCAGCACCCTTAATAACTACATGATGATGAAGGTGGTGAGGAAGATGGTGTCCATCCTGGACCACAGGTTCCAGGATGCAGAGCAGCGTTTCCTTGAAGTCATGTACGGCACCAAAAAGGTCAGTGATCACAGCCAGAAAACGGTCAACACCGGCCAGTTAGATACCACGACTGACTCATTCTCTCCCTCTCTCTCTCTCTCCCTCTCTCTCTCTCTGACATCTGTTATCTGTTTTCTCTCAACACGCTACCCTGCTTTATAGATAAGAGTATTGACCAGCCATGTTACACCCACACATTGTTTTTTTACTACTGTTATAAGGCTGGTCAGGCTTTATGTTGGCAATCATAAAGGCAAAAAGTCCATTTAGAATGTATGATTAAGATCAAATGTACTCAGATGTGTAGTTATTATTTTAATGTATGTATTTTTATTGATGTAGCCAAAGACCTGTCGTCATGCTGTAACGCCACACAACTGATCAGACGCTCGCGGATATAGTTACAAAAAGAGACTTTACTGATTAACGCAGAGTCCAATCTCGTTGTCAGAAAACCGGCGCGGGTCAAATCCAAAACAATCCAACACAAAAGAACAATCTTAACAAAACAAGCAAACAAGACCAAAAGGGCAGTAAATCCAGAAAACACAGTCCAATACACAAAAAGGCAATACGAGAAAAAAACACTCATACTAACTACACCCAGTCATATGACACACAAGGCAGGCGCAACACATCAGTACTCCGGAGAAAGAGAACGACGATTGGCTGTGGTTGGTGGATCAGTCATGTGATCTCCAAGAGAGTTCTGGGAGTTGGAGTTCACTCAGTTGATGGATCCAGAGGAAGGCGTGACACATGCTTTCTGTTTTTCTGTAATGTCAGGAACATCATCATTAAATTACTGAGAGGAACTTCAGTCGTTCTTCAGTAGCTGCTGGTGTAGACTTCAAAGTAGCTTATCTTAGCTTAGCACAGTAGCCAAAAAATCCAAATCTCAATTAATCTGTGTATTTTTACTACAAAAAAATATGGATGGAATATGTTTTGTTGATTTTGGGTATGATTTGCAAAACTAACTGTATTTTTTTATTCATCTGTGAGCAAACAAGTCTAAATGTATAAATGTTTTTATGTGCTTAAATGTTATTTATTATTTGTGTCAGTTGTGCACGACTGTTTGAGATGAAGAGAGCTGCAGGTGTGCTGTCTGTTTTATCAGCTCGGCCATCTTTGTAGAGAGGTGTGATCTGTTTACACTCATTGCTCACTAGCAGCTCAACACAGTCTCCACATTTCACAGAGAACCAACACGGTTGTAGTTAATCTAATAAGAGTTGTCAGGAAACATATTTGATTTGATTATGTAAACATCCAAATGGTCATGGTCACTAGGGGTGCAGAAAGAGGCTACATCAGCTGGTCACATGACAGAGACGTCCACACTTGAGCTTTCCTAACAGTGTGAACTTCCACACACATATAAAATAAACAGTCAAAATGAACAGTGCAGATATACTGACAGACGCTGTGCTGCAGAGTCTCGTTAGGCTGAATGGCTGTTGCTACATCCTGTTAAGTTTACTAGTCTCGCAAGCTTAGTTGTGGAATAAATACAATTTGGGGGAGGACCATCTCTGAAACCCCTCCTCCTTCCAGTCTGACTCCCTATAAATTCCCATCTCGACTGTCCGTTTCCTATGATAATGTTTTTCACAATCCCTACCAAATCCATCTCCTCCGTTTCTCAGTCCTACTGCGGTTATATCGGCCCTACGGATCCAATCAGAAACCAGCCAGAACTCCAGCCCAAGTTCTCAGAGTTCTCCCCCCTCCTTCAATCATCAGTCAGTCTCCCCTCATACTGCCACCGCATACTGAAGGCACAGTCCGAGCTCACAAACAGTGCATCAGTGGGCGGAGACTGGATAGATCGATTAGCAGAGTCTGAATAGTTAATGATTAAACTCTTAATTGAAAGGAGGATAAAGGAGGGCAGAGAAAGTAGGAGGTGATATTTGTGGACTGACTGAGTGAAAACGAGTGTGTGACCATGGAAAAGAAGTGCTGCAGTGTGGTGGTGTGTTATCAGGAGGAGATCCTGTTCTCCTGGCCTCATTTTCCTTTAGGGCTGAAATAACAAACCGCAGGGTGTGTGTGTGTGTGTGTGTGTGTGTGTGTGTGTGTGTGGTGGGTGAGAAGGAAAGGAGGACTGATATTTCAGGACAGGACAGACTGTCCTGTTTCAGTGTTGGTCGTTTTGCAGTTTTGGCTTCTGCTGTTTTTTTATTTGATATTTTAAGCTGTTTGTCTCTAACTGTGCACACGAACGGTTTCCACATCACTTTACACTGTAGCTTGAAACGTGGCACTAATATTCAGTCTTACCAGCTTGTCCTAAAACACATGAACAACACTGTATCCATGAGACACGTCACACACCATTGCTCCAAGGCCACTGCCACATGCACTACCTGTTAAAAGTTTGGGGGCTTTTTGGGGGCTTTTTAAAATGGTTTTAACAAATCAGCGTGTTTTTTTAATCATATGCAGCGACTTAAAATTCCATCACTGTTCAGAATATCTTCATAATTCAGTCTGTTTGCTGAGACATAAACAGCATTATTGAGACTAGTTTGGTGTGAATGTGGAATAGACACTTGTTGTATTATTGTAGAGACACTTACCAACTCGGACGACTACAAAGCCATATTATTACACATTTTATAGCACATTTAACGGCAAAAGCTTATCACAAAGCAGAGTCTCAGTCATCAGGCAGTGAATTCATAACCATTTCATGTAGTTCCTTTCTGTGAGGGAGCTTTTAGAGGCATCAAACTCTTCTGAGGTCTGGTTCCCATCACTGGAAACAGAGCACTCCACATCACACCACTCTGAATGATTAACATCTTAATTTAACTGTGCAGAAATTCCCTCTAGCGTATTAAAAGAAAGCTGTTTAGATACTGACTGCAAAAGCTGCACAACTGAAAGAGCAGAAGCCAAAAGTCCCACCTTGGGAGCCCATTTTATACACTTTATATATTTTATATATGATATTTCAGCACTCGAACCTTTTTCAACTAGAGAACTGCAGGGGATTAGGGGTCGGGATAGTGGTAACACCCGTTCTGGGGACAAAATTAAAATCAATCCCATAGTGAGAACGGAAACGGTGCTAAAATGTCTGTTAACACTGCAGTCCGTGTGAATCCGTGTGAATTCTGTTTTTAGTGTATACTGTCAGTCCACAAACTCACTTTTGCATCAAATTTGATGTTTCAGTATAGCATAGTTCTGTGTCTTTGTGATGATCCAGCTCAGAAATCCAGTTCAAACACTTCCTGAATCTGTAGAGTCGCCCTTTCCATTCCATCTTATCACGAGATCATACGAGACTCACATCCGGAGTTATGAGCCTATGAAGAGGGGCTGAGATACATGTCATCTGCCTCTCACCGTGTGGAACTGGTGGATTCGTGTGTCTGTCTACATTCTGTGTGAAACTGACCAATGGACGCTCAGGAAATCACTAAGGACTGACCATCACGCCGGAAACCCTTCATTCTTCATTCAGTCCACATCGGAGACTCATGTGAAATGGCGTGCAGAGAGTTTACAGCTGCTGAAGCTGCTGCAGCGGGTTTGGAAAGTAGTGATGAAGATAACGGAGCATTTTGATATGAAACATATGAGGATCATGTTACATAAAAGAGCCTTTAAAATTCGAGAAAAAGCCCTCAGACCCCAGAGGGTTCAACAGATTCAAGTAGGACTTGCGTTTGGTCGTCGTTTCTCCAAAGCAGCTTCATGTGCAAAATTTTGAAGCAATTTGACCAACATTTCTTGAGATTCACCCTGAAGACTTTTGTACCATAACATTTTTCTTCATTTTATGTCATCATTGATCACCAAGTTGTGTGCATAAATCGCAGAATTCACAACAATATTATTTGAAACCTATTTTAAACCATTTTAAAGCCTTTTCAGGTGTAATACAGCAATTTTTAAGGCAAAAAACAAGAGAGCTAGCCAGGTACAGCCTAGCCAGGCTACAGTGTGGCAGGGTCTGTTCTCTGTAATAGTGACGTTGATGTTCCAGTGTAGGGAGGTGATTATAGGACACGACACAACACAACACAACACAACACAACACAACCCAACACAACACAGCAGTGCAGGAGTGAAGCTGACTTCACTGAACTGTGGATTCAGTGAGACGAAATTCCAGTGAAGGATTGGTTTTCTAAACTGAATGGATCTGATTAGTAGTGCTGATGCCTGTGTGTGTGTGTGTGTGTGTGTGTGTGTGTGTTTCAGAGCTGCACCCCCCGCTGGAAGCTGTGTGTTAGTGACACGGACAGCGCTCTGGGCTTCGCTCTCGGCGCTCTGTTTGTAAAGGCCACCTTCGCGGAGGACAGCAAGGCCTTTGTGAGTTTTCCTGACATTTTCTCTCTTTTCTGCCCTTCTTTCTTTTTTTCTCTGACATTTTCTCTCTTTTTTCTTGATGTTTTCTATCATTTGTTCTTGTCTCTGTTCTCTGATGCTCTCTTTCTTTTCGCTGCTTCTCCCTCGTGTGTCCGTCAGGCTGAAGATATGGTCTCTGAGATTAAATGGGCGTTTGAAGAAAGTTTGAAGCACGTGAGCTGGATGGATGGAGAGACCCAAAAAGCAGCCAAAGAGAAGGTGAGCGCTAAATGGCTTTGGGCAAAACTGGGGAAGAGCCTTTTCCAGCTACTGTGGGCTCCAGGACAGTGGCAGCATTGTTCACAGTTTAGAGTCCAGTGGCTCCACTGTACCCAGTCATTTGGCATTTAATGGTATTTATATGAATAGTTATTTTGTTTTATTTTACGGTTTTGTGATCTATTCTAGGGTTTGTGAAATGCATTATATAAATTCATCAAAAAAGGCCTTAATAATGCCTTTTTATGTAGCGGCACTGTTAATAGATGCCCGTTCAAATGTTCCTTTGGTTAGCAGTACATGATGTCATACTAACGTAAATATATAGTTGTTTAGTATTTATTTACTTATTTTCATTTGGTGATCTTCTGTAATGTGACCTTAGGAAAGGGTCTGTGTACGTAAAGTTATAAGGGCTCTTATTAGTGAACCAATATTGAAAATCCATATAATTAATATAATATTTGTACAGCATGCTTCATAACCCACCTTTGATCTAGACGTTTGCAGCTCTCCTATTTGTTCCTTGAATGGACTCTGAACCAAAGTTATATGGCCTTTTGTTAAAATACGCTGTATAACCCTCTGATCATGGTGAAATCAGTTGATCATGCTCCTACACTGGCTCTGTAGTGCCATCTGGTGTTAATATTAATGCATAGCAACTCCTGTTCCTTATAAAAAACACTTCATTGATTTATTGATTTCTAACAATCAAATTATCAGATGTCCTGTAGGGTTTTGTTGTGACTATTAACGACTTCCACCAGTCAAGTCAGGTTCCTTTGTTCTTGTTAAAGGAGGTGTTTTAACCTGCATCTGATGAAGGCTGTGAAGGCTGGAATGTCATGATAATTATAAAATCAATAAAGTGTTTTTATGAGTTGCTACTTTGTAATTCACATTTTTCTGCAGATTGAGCTGTTAAATAATAATATAATACAATAATAAACAGGACCTGACACTGACTAATGCTTTCTTTCAGGCAGACGCAATATACAATATGATCGGCTACCCAAAGTTCATCATGGACCCCAAAGAACTTGACAAAGTTTTCAATGATGTAAGTGCAGTTATGAAATATTCCACATCACTGGTGGTAAAAAAAACGCAGAGCCTTCTAATCCGTCTGTGATCGTAGAGAAGAATGTGTCGGATAAAAGATTTCAGATCAAAAGATTTTGCTAAAACAAATCATAAAATCGTTCCATCTGGGCGATTTTGTTAGAGTCTAAACCTATTAGAGGTCTATCTGACCTGAGCCTGACCAGGTCCAGCAAAATATCAGCTTTTGGGCCCTGGGCTCAGTTTCACATACAACATCGGACTTTTGCCTTTTTTGACATTTGTCCACCTGGACTCTCACTCTCTTCCTTCATGTAACTATATACACCGGTCAGGCATAACATTCTGACCACCTCCTTGTTTCTACACTCATTGTCCATTTTATCAGCTCCACTTACTATATAGGTGCACTTTGTAGTTCTACAGTTACAGACTGTAGTCCATCTGTTTCTCTGATACTTTGTTAGCCCCCTTTTACCCTGTTCTCAGTGGTCAGGACCCCCGTGGACCCTCACAGAGCAGGTACTATTTGGGTGGTGGGTCATTCTCAGCACTGCAGTAACACTGATGTGGTGGTGGTGTGTTAGTGTGTGTTGCACTAGTCTGAGTGGATCAGACACAGCAGTGCTGCTGGAGTTTTTAAACACTCACTGTCCACTCACTGTCCACTCTATTAGACACTCCTACCTTGTCGGTCCACCTTATAGATGTAAAGTCAGAGACGATAGCTCATCTGCTGCTGCACAGTTTGTGTTGGTCATCCTCTAGTCCTTCATCAGTGGTCACAGGACGCTGCCCACAGGACGCTGTTGGCTGGATATTTTTGGTTGGTGGACTATTCTCAGTCCAGCAGTGACACTGAGGTGTTTAAAAACTCCAGCAGCACTGCTGTGTCTGATCCACTCAGACCAGCACAACACACACTAACACACCACCACCACGTCAGTGTTACTGCAGTGCTGAGAATGATCCACCACCCAAATAGTACCTGCTCTGTGAGGGTCCATGGGGGTCCTGACCACTGAAGAACAGGGTAAAAAGGGGCTAATAAAGTATCAGAGAAACAGATGGACTACAGTCTGTAACTGTAGAACTACAAAGTGCACCTATATAGTAAGTGGAGCTGATAAAATGGACAATGAGCGTAGAAACAAGGAGGTGGTCAGAATGTTATGGCTGACCGGTGTATATCCTATAGCTGATTTTATTTGGGTCATTTCTATTGGCCGATTCACGCTGAAATGTTAATATAATGTAAAGAGCAACTGCCGTTTTCAAATGATACAAAAACATAAACAGAATGGAGTTACAGGGTTTTGATATGGCAGTGATGTATAATTAACGTGTCTAATACTGTTGTTGTGTCTCAGTTTGATGTAGTGTCGGACCTGTACTTCCAGAACGTCATGCACTACTACAACTTTTCGGGCCGAGTGACGGCTGACCAGCTGAGGAAAGCGCCCAACAGAGATCAGTAAGAACTGGACACGTTCAGCTACCGAACACTGCAGCTCTTTCCACACCAACAGACACACATGCTTTGATTACCAGCAACTACGCTTACCTTAAAAGATTAAGAGTGAGTTTTGCTGTTGTGTCTCATAGATGGAGTATGACGCCCCCTACAGTGAACGCCTATTACAACCCCACCAAGAATGAGATGGTACTTCCTGCAGGCATCCTCCAGGCTCCGTTCTACAGCCACGCATGGCCAAAGTAACTTCACACACCTACACACTCCTCTCTTGCCCAATCTCCTCCCTCACCCACACGCCTCCCTCGTCCACACGCCTCCCTCACCCACACGCCTCCCTCGTCCACACGCCTCCCTCACCCACACGCCTCCCTCACCCAGTCATACAAGACCAGGCTAGTGTGCCTTTGAGTTGGGAGAGACTTGTAAACCAACACTAAAAAACACATTAACCACTCACTGATAAAATCAGACAGAAACAGTGTAAACTGTGCATCGTTTAGCTTGAATAATCATTATTTTTCAGCCTGTTCCAGATACTGTGTGCGCTTATCTCTGCAACAAGGGGAACTTTTCACACTTGCAGCTTAAACAGCAAGCTGTCTTATTTCACTGAAGGGTGGGACTTTACTGCCATAAGAGTTCCTAACGCTGCAGTGATGCGTGTTCACCTCCTGCCTGAAATACTGATACTGAAACATTATACAACAGTTAGTTTTGGCCACGCGAGCTGATTGGATGAGCAGTGTTCTAACTGTGCTGTTATTTCACCATAACATCACGGTTTTTCACAAACACTGTATCACTCCACAGAGACGCTGTTGCTAAGCAACGACTTTGACAGCTGTAGGAGACGCTCAAGACATTTGAACGCTTTTACTTCTTACTTTGCCACAAACAGAAAACGGACACTTTTAGGATCACATTTGACCGACAGCCGATTTGGTCAGACTCTGAAGATGAGACGACACTAAATTCCCAAACTGTCATCACCACTGAGCAGCTTTTCAGTCGGCAGCTGAGACAGAAGAACAGCTGAACAACCTGGAATCAGCCAGAAATGAACCCAACACCATTCGCCAAACTAAATGGGCTGTAAGATGCTTTACAGACTGGCTGGAACAAAACAACATTAATACTGATCTGGCAAAAACTGACAAAACTGAGCTGAACCTGATATTGCGGCAGTTTTATGGCTCAGTCTGTACTTCAGAAGGCGAGACTTACAGCAGACTGAGCAGCGAGTGGGCGGAGCTCGTTACTCTGACGTAGCAACAAGCTGCTCGTTAAGGAACTATAATTTGGTGAAGGAACTGCGAACATTAAAACATATTAAACGCCGCGTTCACGGCCCAGTTTATTAATTTATTACTGTATTTATTTAACTGTAGTATTAAAGCAATAGAACACTCGAGGAGTGTGTTATCACCAATAACATCACGGCTGTGATGATCTACAGTGACCAAATCACAGCCGTGATGTTATTTCGCGATAACACACTCCCTCTGTGTTCTATAGCTGAATTAAAGCATGTTCAGTAGAATTTTGCTCTGTTCTCTTTTAGAGCCCTGAATTTTGGAGGCATTGGTGTTGTTATGGGACATGAACTGACCCATGCTTTCGATGACCAAGGTAACCAGTTCAAAAGAAACTGATTATAGTAAAGAATGGATGTTTTTTTATGTGTACAGGTTAAGTAGAAGGAAAAAGGGTCTTTATTATTCACACAATAGATGCTTAGATTCTATGGAACTACATGGTGGTATGGCCACATTATTAGAAACCCCTACCTTGTAACTCCATCTTGGTGGTGTACAGTTAAAGACTGTAGCCCTCTAGAACTTCAGCGATGGTCATTTTCTGACCTAAGTTGATATTTTTGGGTCGTAGTCTATTCTCAACCCAACAGGGACACTGACGTGTGTATAATTACAGTATTTTATCTACACTTTATGCCCAAAATATATCCAGACACCTTCACATTCAGCACATGGTCATTCAGTTGTGCATACAGCACAGCTTGTATAATCTCCATAGAAAGCATTGCTAATAGAAAGCGACGGTCTGAAGCAGCCAGACGAGCCTAAAGTCATCATGCCCAATGTGAAGTGTCAGCTAGAGGGGTATAAAGCCCCCCACCATAGAGCTGTAGAGCAGTGGAACTGTAGTCTCTGGAGTGATGGAGCTCCATCCAAGACTGTGGTATGAGTTGGAGTGATCCAGAACTGACCATCCAACATCAGTGCCTGACCTCATTAATGCTCTTGTGGCTGAGTGTAATCAGAGCCTCACACGGGTGTCTACAGTCTTTTGGACATACAGTGTATTTGCAAAGATTTATGTATTTCAAAAGTGGTGATCAAAACTACATTATGGAAATTCGTCCCTGATATTCATTTTATTATAACTTTATGCTCTACAGCTTTGTGATTATGGAGTCATCTGTTCATCTTTCAGATCTGCTCCTCATTTTTACAGCTTACTACAAATGAAAGCTGCTGCAGGCAAAACAATAATAATAATAATAATAATAATAATAATAATAATTTATACATTTGGCAATTTTGCATTTACAAACAACAAAATAGTTTTTTAACTCACTGTGTGTTGGGCTGTGTGTTGGGCTGTGTTGGGCTGTGTGTTGTGTTGTGTGTTGTGCTGTGTGTTGTGCTGTGTGTTGTGTGTGTTGTGCTGTGTGTTGGGCTGTGCGATGTGCTGTGTTGGGCTGTGTGTTGTGCTGTGTTGGGCTGTGTGTTGGGCTGTGTGATGTGCTGTGTTGGGCTGTGTGTTGTGTGTTGGGCTGTGTGATGTGCTGTGTTGGGCTGTGTCTTGTGTGTGTTGGGCTGTGTGTTGTGTGTGTTGGGCTGTGTGTTGTGTGTGTTGGGCTGTGTGTTGGGCTGTGTGTTGGGCTGTGTTGTGCTGTGTGTTGGGCTGTGTGTTGTGTGTGTTGTGCTGTGTGTTGGGCTGTGTGTTGTGTGTGTTGGGCTGTGTGTTGTGTGTTGGGCTGTGTGTTGTGTGTGTTGGGCTGTGTGTTGGGCTGTGTGTTGTGTGTTGGGCTGTGTGTTGTGTGTGTTGGGCTGTGTGTTGTGTGTGTTGGGCTGTGTGTTGTGTGTTGGGCTGTGTGTTGTGTGTGTTGGGCTGTGTGTTGGGCTGTGTGTTGTGTGTGTTGGGCTGTGTGTTGTGTGTGTTGGGCTGTGTGTTGTGTGTTGGGCTGTGTGTTGTGTGTGTTGGGCTGTGTGTTGTGTGTTGGGCTGTGTGTTGTGTGTGTTGGGCTGTGTGTTGTGTGTTGGGCTGTGTGTTGTGTGTTGGGCTGTGTGTTGTGTGTTGGGCTGTGTGTTGTGTGTGTTGGGCTGTGTGTTGGGCTTGGCTGTGTGTTGGGCTGTGTGTTGGGCTGTGTGTTGTGTGTGTTGGGCTGTGTGTTGTGTGTGTTGGGCTGTGTGTTGGGCTGGGCTGTGTGTTGGGCTGTGTGTTGTGTGTGTTGGGCTGTGTTGGGCTGTGTGAGCAGGGAGGGAGTACGATAAGGATGGGAATCTGCGCTCCTGGTGGAAGAACTCATCGGTCGAGGCGTTTAAGCACCAGACTCAGTGCATGGTGGAGCAGTACAGCAACTACAGCATCAACAGCGAGCCGCTCAACGGCAAACACACATTAGGAGAAAACATCGCCGACAACGGGGGCCTCAAAGCGGCGTACAAGGTTTGTCCAAGCCTGGGGGCGAATTATCACACGTCTTCAAACACTTCAGAATACTGAACCTACTGTTCAGTAACTTCTGTACATTATTTAGTAGCTATGAAACTCAGTAATAGTAGTTCTGACTTAATCCACCGCATAGTTACAGCGCAGCCCAACCTGCTAACACACAGTCCTGCTGGTATTGAGTGTGGTCTTCAGTCTTGCCCACACTCTTGGTAGGAAGATGGTTCTCCAAGGGTTCTTTGCATAATGAAAGGGTTTTTTTTTAGATTGATGAAAAATATGTATTAATGTGCTTTAGGCAGTTCTATATAGAACCTATATAGAATGTGTTTTAGATGGCTCTATATATAGAACCTTTTTGAAAAGGGTTCTATTGTTACAAGCTTGACATCATAACAATAGCAGAGCCTTTTTTGGGCGCTACATAGAACTTTTTTTAAAATGTTCCATATATAGAACCATCTAAAGCACATTTTCCATCAGTCTGAAGAACCCTCTGATGATGATGCAGAGAACGCTTTGATCATGCAAAGGGTTCTTTAAATGTTCATGGTTCTATATGGAACCATTTTCTTTACTAAAGAAGCCTTGAGGAACCATCTCTTTTCAGAGTGTATCTGTGGAAAGTTCGGGAAGATGACAAGATACTTTACTCCAGACTAATCAGCCAATCAGGTCACTCTCTCACACACACACACACACACACACACACACACACACACGACTGAACTTTTCCTAAATGGAGTGATTTTAGTATTTTTAGAAGTCTAGAGTTATTATTGTCATTAGTTATTTATGATATTCTGTAGTTATATTCCATCAGTTATATTTGTGTTATTTTATTAACATGAAAAATCATTTTTATAATTACTGAGGAATTACTTTATTAAATACAGTCAGTTATTTAATGAGTTGCGTGTGCATTTGACGTGTTTGAGCTGCGTTTTGATGTAAAAGATAAACATGAAAATGAGGAATAATTAGTATGAAATTCTAAACATGTTTGTTATCATCGATAATAACTCTGATTTCTAAGGGTTGAAAAAGACTAAGCAGGTCAGTGTTTGTCCTCCATAACAACACAGAGACATTAAGATCCTCATACTCCTCCCGTTCACTGCCCGGGTCTGCCCAGGACGGAAAATCAGGGCATGTCCCCCTCGCTGTAAATCCTCGAAAAAGTGACAGGTGGTCCTCTGGCCACGGTCACATTCTTTCCACCGGGCAAAAAGTCATAGGTTAGAGTTACGGAGCAGGACTGCTATCAGAAAACATCTCACAGCAGAAATAATCAGCCCTGGAGCAGCAGGTCAGCTCAGCTTCAGCTATAACAGGACATGTTTTATGACAGGACGGTTTTATGGTACACAACACCAAAAGTGCAGGACAGTGGCAGACAAGTATTCACTGTACTCCCTGGCCAATTTATTAGAAACCCCTTCCTTTTAGCTTGCTGGTGTAGAGTTAGAGACCCTCCTGTATATATAGTGTCCTTCATCAGGGGTCAGTTTCTGACCACAGAGCTGCTCTTGGCCACTCTGGACCTAGCAGTGACACTGACCCCAGCAACACTGCTGTGCCTGACACACTCGTACCAGCACCACACAGGACCATGTCGGTGTCACTGCTGTGATGAAAATGCTGTAGATGGGCTACAGTCTGTAATACACCAACAGAGTACACAGTGACTGGACACACTGCACTGTCAGACTGTAAACTACTATATAACTGCTGTTGTGCCTGCTACTTCTATATTTTATATACAGTGGTGTGAAAAAGTGTTTGCCCCCTTCCTGATTTATTATTCCTTTGCATGTTTGTCACACTTAAATGTTTCAGATCACCAAACAAATTTAAATATTAGACAAAGATAACACAAGTAAACACCAAATGCAGTTTATAAATGAAGGTCTTTATTATTAAGGGAAAAAGAAATTCAAACCTACAGGGCCCTGTGTGAAAAAGTGATTGCCCCCCTGTAAAAACATAAATTAACTGTGGTTTAGCTGAGTTCAACTTCCCTAGCCACACCCAGGCCTGATTACTGCCACACCTGTTCTCAATCAAGAAATCACTTAAATAGGACCTGCCTGACAAAGTGAAGTAGACCAAAAGATTCTCAAAAGCTAGACATCACGCAGCGATCCAAAGAAATTCAGGAACAAATGAGAAACAAGGTAATTGAGATCTATCAGTCTGGAAAAGGTTATAAAGCCATTTCTAAAGCTTTGGGACTCCAGAGAACCACAGTGAGAGCCATTATCCACAAATGGTGAAAACATGGAACAGTGGTCAACCTTCCCAGGAGTGGCCGGCCGACCAAAATTACCCCAAGAGCGCAGCGACGACTCATCCAAGAGGTCACAAAAGACCCCACAACAACATCCAAAGAACTGCAGGCCTCACTTGCCTCAGTTAAGGTCAGTGTTCATGACTCCACCATAAGAAAGAGACTTGGGCAAAAATGGCCTGCATGGCAGAGTTTCAAGACGAGAACCACTGCTGAGCAAAAAGAACATAAAGGCTCGTCTCAGTTTTGCCAGAAAACATCTTGATGATCCCCAAGACTTTTGGGAGAATACTCTGTGGACTGATGAGACAAAAGTTGACCTTTTTGGAAGGTGTATGTCCCGTTACACCTGGCGTAGAAGTAACACAGCATTTCAGAAAAGGAACATCATACCAACAGTAAAATATGGTGGTGGTAGTGTGATGGTCTGGGGCTGTTTTGCTGCTTCAGGACCTGGAAGACTTGCTGTGTAAATGGAACCATGCATTCTGCTGTCTACCAAAACATCCTGAAGGAGAATGTCCGGCCATCTGTTCGTGACCTCAAGCTGAAGCGCACTTGGGTTCTGCAGCAGGACAATGATCCAAAACACACCAGCCGGTCCGCCTCTGAATGGCTTAAGAAAAACAAAATTAGGACTTTGGAGTGGCCTAGTCAAAGTCCTGTCCTGAATCCGATTGAGATGCTGTGGCACGACCTTAAAAAGGCGGTTTATGCTCGGAAACCCTCCAATGTGGCTGAATTACAATTCTGCAAAGATGAGTGGCCAAAACTCCTCCACAGCGCTGTAAAAGACTCATTACCAGTTATCACAAACGCTTGATTGCAGTTGTTGCTGCTAAGAGTGGTCCAACCAGTTATTAGGTTTAGGGGGCAATCACTTTTTCACACAGGGCCCTGTAGGTTTGGATTTCTTTTTCCCTTCATAATAAAGACCTTCATTTATAAACTGCATTTTGTGTTTACTTGTGTTATCTTTGTCTAATATTTAAATTTGTCTGGTGATCTGAAACGTTTAAGTGTGACAAACATGCAAAAGAACAAGAAATCAGGAAGGGGCAAACACTTTTTCACACCACTGTAATATGCTGATTACCTACAGTCATATGCAAAAGTTAGGGCTCCCCTGATCAAAAAACATGCATTTTAAATCAGTTACATTAAATCAATAATACGTTTAACACATCCTCTACAGAGAACACACTTCTGCACGTCAGTGTACAGTTAATGTTTATTTGCTGAATTTAACATATTGGAAAAAAGAAAAGATCAAATATGGTCTGTGTTAAAGTTATGACACATTTTATATTATTTGATCATTTATTTTTTTGTAATATGTTAAAATAAAATATAAATTATGAACTAAAATTAGCAGTAAAACCATATTTAAGTGTGTTCTCTAACTACAGCCCACTCATACTACAAAATAAGAGAAGGCCTTATGGCTGGTTTGATTGCTCATCCATTCTTATTTGACTTTGACCCATTGGCCGCTGCCTTATGCTTTACTTAACAGGGTCATTGTTTACAAATCTAGATGATCATGAATTATTATTATTATGATTATCATCATCATCATATTATAATAATTTAAGTACATATTGTACAAATTATCATTACAACAAAAGTATCTAAGATCAGTGATTATCAGTGATTGTGACCAGATTACCATAAACTATAACTCTACTCTGCTGCCTTTTTGCACATAGTAAACTTGTAATACTTACAGTAAAATATGACTAAAATATATTATGTTTTAATACACACGACATATATACAGTTAATATACAGTTGTATGTAAATGTTCATATTTCCCCAGTCATGTTTTGCTGAAACACCCTCTAGTAACCACCCTGTCTTGATTTGCAGGCCTATCTGAACTGGATCCAGAAGAACGGAGAGGAAGCCACACTGCCAGCCCTGGGAATGACGAACCACCAGCTGTTTTTTGTTGGATTTGCTCAGGTTTGTTTCCTTTCTCTCATATTGCTGTTCATTAATGTCTACTTGTGGTTAGTTTATAATATGGTCTGCCATAAACTGGGTGTTTGATAAATGAGCATATTATACACAGCAGTGCAGAAGTTTGGAATCAGCATTTTCAGTAAAATAAAACCAGGTTAGTTGCACAAAAATATATCAAATCGCCAAAGTACTGAATGGCGGTCCGAGGAGTTACCGCTGCGCCACCAGGGGGCACAGGTGAAAAACACCTCAATGAATGGGAGGTGATTAAGAGAGGAAGATCAGCTTTATGTTTCACCTGTTTGCTCTTTGTAGAACAAACACGTTTGGTTTGGCTTGGAGTCGTTTCCTGTTTAAGCCTTCTTTATGCCTTTTAAGTAGTTTTGGGGCAACTTCTCTCGTTTTTCAGCCCTCTTTTCTTTTCTTTTTCTTTTCTTTTTTGTCTAAATACCCACCTGGGCTAAGTACCGTACCCGTCACCCCTCTACAAAGGTGTGACAAAGGGCTGCTGTTTGCCACGGCCTTAAGTAGAGGAGTCCACTGGTGTGCCAGGTTGGGCCTAATCAGCCCGAGGGCTTCTGGGAATTGGAGTTCCCTGAACTGGTGGTGCCTCACCGCCGTCGCCCTCTGCTGGCGGCACAGGCTGGACCCTTACATGTTTCCAAGCACATTGTACATATTCACCAATTTAAGCGCTAATTTGTTACAAAAAGAACTACGATATAATGTTGAACCTCAGTACAGAAGAAGACAGAGACATTTATCACTCCATTTATAACTCCTTTTACATTTATGAACTAAATTGGACATAAGAATGACAGAGTTAGTACAGAGATGAATTCTGAGGTCACTAGAATGATAAAAACTCTTAATGTCTATGTGCTGAAAAGTTAAAGGAGAAGAGACACTTTTCAGTCTCTTACATATTTACAGAAAAATAAATGTTCAGTAGTTTCGCACTGTGAATGACAAAAGCTGCGAAAGCATTTTTAAAACCAAATCTACCACAAAGACGATCATTAACAGAGTAAAGAGAGAGTTTTCCTTTGCTTTGAGAGGGACAGGAAGTTTGAGGTGTACTGTAGTAACCTTGACCCACATAATGGGTCCATCATGTTATAACAGAAGGTTTTGAACCCTGCAGATAAAATTTCATTTATTGCCCTCCTCGTCCACATAGTGTTACATATTAATCTATTAAATCCAGTCCATCAGTTTGTATTTTAGCGAGAGATAAAGATATACTGGGATGTTCCATGGAACCTTTTATCCTCAGAAACAAAGTTAAACTGAAATAAACTCAATAATAGACAAATAGTCACCATCTTTATCTAATGATCCTTATGCTCAAACCAGATTGGTTTAAAAGTTGATTTCCTCATCACCTTAGGAAAATAATAATAGCGATAAATCTCTTATTCCAGTGCAAATCAATCAATCAATCAATCAGCCTTAATTTAAACTTGGAATACATTGAGGGAGCCCCTCATTTACAACGTAGCCGAGCAATACAGGAATCAGGGATTGACAGTAAAAAATAAATCAAATGTTATAATAAAATAATAAAAATCATAATACTAAAATTTAATAATAAGAAGGTAAAAATCAATAACCTATTAAAATTACATTATAGTAACTTATCAAGTAACACAGCAGATAAAAACATTAATTAATGAAATAGAATAGAAGAAGACAATAAATTGACAGTAATAAAATAAATCAAAGGAATAAAAAGAATGATAAAAAGTAAAGAAATAAAAAGTACAAAAGTACAAAAGTTCAAGTAAAAAGTAAAACAATAGCCAAATACCAGAAATATAAAAATGAAGTTCAGTAAAGTCAAACAAAGCAGTGTCAGGCTGTGTGGAGGTGGTTAGAGACTAAACGTTTGTGAGAGTTTTAGTTTTAGAGTTTTACAGTTTCCTGTGATGAACTCCAGCTCGCTGGTTCTGTAGCTAAAAGCAAGTATTGCGAGGTAAAAAATGATGCTTAAAGATTATTTTCTAGAAACGCTAAGCTTGCTGATTAAATCTAGAGAGCTGGTTTTACATTTCTGTTTATTTTCATCCCTCTGTTGTTGAAGGTGTGGTGTTCAGTCCGGACCCCGGAAAGCTCCCATGAAGGTGTAATCACGGACCCCCACAGTCCCTCGCGCTTCAGGGTCATCGGCACCGTCTCCAACTCCCACGACTTCTCTAAACACTTCGGCTGCAGAGCCGACTCACCGATGAACCCCAAGCGCAAGTGTGAACTGTGGTGATCCCAGTGAGCCCCGTCTGACGGGCAGCGGAGGAAACAGCCCTGCCCGCCCTTTGCTCTTCTCTCAGGGTGCCTTAAGTGGACTGGAGGCTGGAGGATGTTCAGTCACCTGGGGTTTCGTGTGAATTCTCTGAGGAACTGAATTGAAATAGGAGGAACTTTGTAAACACTGGAAGACCTGATAGTTCTAACATGGGAGGAAGGACAGTTAACAGTAGATATTCAGGTTTTGTACATATAGACATATATATGCCGTTATCGTGTGCTCTTATTTTTCTAAGGGGGAATAATATTTATTTTCTTCCAGTGTTTTTTGTCTCTGGGGTAAGGTGGAAACTTTATACCAAAATACTGGTTTAACAAACTGAAGTCTCGCCGATAGGAACTAGTGACAAAAGTCTGCGTGTGGTGACAAAAGTCTGCGTGTGGTGCACTTTTGGAATGTGAATGAATGAATGGATGAATAGAAATGGTCTGAAACTGTAAAAAGAACATTTTCTTAGGTCGCATTTAAAAGTTTTTAGGGCCACTGCACACTGGACACTGGACACTGCACACTGGACACGCCGTGTCACAACGTACAGCATCCAAAAACTCAAAACTACTGTTCTTAACGAAGGTGTGAGGTTCAGCGTTTCACCGTTAAATTAAAGCCATATTGAGACCCTGGTAGCTAAAACACTGGCAGCCATGAATGCAGAGACAGTTCACAATGACAAAGTATCAACGTCGACTGGGCAGCTCACCTGTTGTGTTGTGATTGGCTGTCATTTTTAGGTATTTTCCAGTCAGTTCATGAACATTTTCGTTTTGTTTACAGAACCAGAAACGACCGTGCGTCAGTAACACAAACCAATGTGTGATTTAATGCAGCTAAACCTCTTCATTCAGTTAACACTGCTGGCACAATGCTACCTCCCATTAGCATTGCTAGTACCAAGCTAACCATGGTTCACCTGAGCAATTCATGACATTTGTTTCAGTTGATGACTGATAGACATTCACTTCATATGTCAGGAACATTTTGTAGCGTTTGATAGCTAACAGGTTATTGTGACAGTAGAAAACTGATGACCCATGTTGTTCACCTGTATAGCTGTACATGGTTATAGTTATAGTAAACCATATAGTAGGTGGGTTTTTTATTCACAAATGTGAAACAGAAACGTTTAATATTTTTTCAGGTGGAGAGGAAACTGGGAGCATTACTGAAAGTCGAGCTGGAGATGTGAGTCTGCTTGGTCAGGGAGCATCGTGAACAGTCAGAGCTCACTGGTTTTGTGGGAACCTTCTGGGACAAAAACTGACAATGGGGCACCCTAAAACATGGCTGGTTCCCTGGTCAGTCCCCAGACTACTGGACTGAGGAGCTCTTTGAAACACACTCGTGTCTTTTACATAAACAGACTGATGCTAATGCTATGTTCCTTAGAACAGTTTTAATTCCTTAAATTTCTCTGAGTGTGAGAATGGATGTTACCTATCAGCTCTAACTGCACGGCTTTCTGTACAGTCTTGCACATTGTACTGTATCTGCTGTGTAATGATAACCAATGCTAAGCTGTGCAGCGCGACTCAATGCGTCCAGAGTGCAGTGGCCATTCGCCAAAGTTCAGAAAGATTTTCCCTTTTCCTTTAAAGCTACAGCTCTGGAGATGATGCCAGTTGATCATAATAATCCATATATCAGCTGTTGCCTCATGACCACAAACTGCAATGTTTTTTTTTTTTTTTCATCTTTTTGTCTTTGTCCATTGGTCAGACATCACCCATATGCCTATATTAGGAACTCCGGGTCTAAGCTAGTTTTGCTGAGTTTTGTCAACTGTAGCGAACAAATATGTTCTGAAGCCCATTTGTTTTGCCAAACATAGTTTTCTCTTAAATGTTGCCAGATCCTCTTAATGACCAAGTCATTTAACCTCTTTAACTCTGTGGAACCACTGGTGGTTCCAAAACGCACTTTGTGATATTTTTTACTTCATAACGTTCATATTTCATAAGCTTCATTCTAAAGGTGGGGGTCGTATGAGGCTGTAACTGTCTTCTTTCCAGTCAAATAGATGGTGATGTAATTTTAAACCCTTATAATAAAAGAAACTGAACTGAAATTTTTTTTTTTTTCTACTGAAAGTCGACCCATTTTTCCACAAATCTGGGCTATAAACTATAAACAGATGGCGTCTCTTCAGTGATCTGCTCTGTAAACATTATTTTTATAAATAATACAAAGAGCGTCTAAGATGTAAGCATATAGCAATATGTGTATCATAAAACACATGTTCTGTTAATTTAAGGGGAACATTTACATTCCATGTATTTCATGCAGTTACTGAATAATTTGCCTTAAGATTTGGGCATGAAAATTCAGATGGACAAACCAAAATATACCCACGAGCATAAAAGGAGGCAAACACAATGAAAGCAAGCATTGAAACTGACATCGTATCACTAGCAACCTCATCAAAACATCTTTCGCAAACCAGCCAGCTTTGTCAAATATGCTTATATAATAGTGTTGAAAACAAAACCGTAGAACAGTGCGCAGCAGCACTGAGAACGTCATGCTAATTTACATCGATAAACCAGCTTAGATCAGAATAGCCTGATATGGGCATAACGCTGGCCACAGAATGGTGCACAACTTCAGTCGTCTGTTATCCACCCTGCTCTCTTTGCTGGGACACTGTAAAGCTGTATGTATAGTGTATAGTCTGTATTATGCTCTGTTCTATTGATAATGTTTATGCTGGACCACTTTCTACAACAGAGTGCCTACACATGCACTGTGCAATACTTAAAGCCCTATGTGTGTGAACATGTGTGACCTGCTGTGTGTGTGTGTGTGTGTGTGTGTGTGTGTGTGTGTGTGTGTGTGTGTGTGTGTGTGTCTATCTATCATAGTGTAGAAGTGCTGATTCAGGATGAGTCTTGCTTATTAGCACCACTGCAGGCCAGACATTTGGAAGCAACAGTAACTTCGCAAAAATGAACATTAAATGTTTATTAAGAGAAAATGTATAGTAACACGTTTATCAGCTCCTGCAGAGCTTTATTGCAGCTCTGATCATCCCCACCTGATTCCTCCAGTCAGACGGTCCTGAAGGCTCGACCCACTCAGCCAGGTTACATCGGGGAGGTATAAAGAATGGACAGCTGTTCAGTGTAAGGCACTGTTATGTCAGGGGCTGCGTTTAGAAGGCCTGGAGAGCCACTGTCCGGGTTGTCCTTGCTTTAGCACACCTGATTCAGCTCATTAGCTAAACTATCATGGCCTTCGTGGGTTTGATTAAGTGTGTCAGAGGAGTGTATAATTAAATCTGTCCAAGAAGGCGAGTCTTCAGAACTGGAACTGAACCCCTGCACTACAGCAAACGTACTACACTGTGTAAATCAGTGGAATATTCTGGAACTACATGGCAATAATCTTTGTTGCTGGTAAATAGACTTAACCCTTTAAACCATAAGTGCTTTTACAGTGGGGTTTCAGACACGGAGGAATTTTTTTCATTTAATGAAAAATTCTGAAGAATGCAAAACAAGTTATGACTTCTAAATCACTATTCAACTTTTTTATGGTCACATAACTCTGATGAATTTGGCTTTTGCACAAAAGTCCCTGCCAGCTCGAGTGCGCACTGTCATTAAAACAAAACGGATACGAAATACCAAGAAATTCTGAAATTCATGCAAATATTTCAAAGATTCTACTTCTGACTCAGATTGTGATGCTGAACTATAATTTTTAATAAAAAACATTACATTAAAGGGGAATCAGATGTTTCTACATTTCTGCATAATTAAGTCATGTATTCATGTAAGTCATGTAGTTAAGATGTAAGCAAAGTCATTCTGGGAGGTTGGGCATGAAATGTGATATTCTAGAGAAATTACTGGGTCAGAATTATCCACAACCAGATGTCTGAAGCATTTAATGCCTCTAAAAACTACCTCACAGAGAGTTATTACACGGAATGCCTGCAGTGTTGTTTCATCATAGTTTTGAGAAAGTTTTGGCCTTTTTTCATTCGTGGTGGAGAGGGATATGGAAGGCGTTGTGAGCCAAAATAGTTCCCAAAGAAAACCTGTTTTCTGACTTATCTCAGAAAACCTTTGCTGCTCCTCAACCTTCACGCTATCTGGTTTTGGATACTAAATAAAATGGCTACATATGTGTTGTAGATATCACAGTTCCTGGTTCCTGTCACCAAGAAGTTCTGTCCTCACTACTGGGTAAAGGTCTGTGGATTTCTCCTTTAAATTAGAAAAGAAAGCGAAATAGAAGCTTTTCCACTAGTGGTCTCCGACCTTTAGACCCCACTGTATATGTATATGAGTAAATAAATTGGCCTATAGTGTATAAAAACAATAGGAATATGAATCTACATGTGCTATGACTGTCATACTGAAGTACTTTATTGTATGGAACTCTGGGCTGATGGTGAAACTGCTGCTCCTCAGTCTTCATGTTGCTGGTCCACTGATAGGCTGAGCTTTAGGCTGTTTGTGTGTGAATACTCTTCTAAGTGAATACACTTCTAAACCATCACACACAGCGACTCAAACCATGTTGAGCTGTTAAATCAACTCAAACAGACTTGCTTACTTGGTTTCTGGGTCATATGACGTACTGTCATCTATAAAACTGGGACAAAAGTGCCAATAATTCAGTTTAATCGACTGATAGGCTAAAACGAATGTTTGGCTCCAGTGAAGAAGCAACTGTTGATACTAAACCATCCTTGGCTGATCAACTACGCTTGGTAAAGTGGAGAATTGTGTACATTTTTCACTGATGTATCACTTGTCGCTCCTCTTAAAGGCAAACTCCACCAATTTTTAAAAAATTCAACATAACTAAATGATTAAAGTGTAAATAACGCCCTGTTCTGGAGAAACTAGCCGAGTCAGAATGGTTCACAGTGGTGGTGATAGGAACCAGACGTCTGAAGAGTTTAATGCCTCTAAAATCTGCATCACATGAAATGGTTAGATATACGCTGCCTGATGTCTGATACTGTTTTGTGATAAAATTGTTCCTTAGAATGTATTTTAATCCATTCATGGCGGAGGGATACATGCAGGGCGCTGTGAGGCAAAATAGTCCCCAAAAAGGTTCACTGGTGGTTCTGGATAGTAAATAAAATGTCTATATCTGTGTTGTAGTCATGGCGACCCCTGGTTCCTATCACCACCACTGTAAAGACATCTGAACCATTTCACACCAAACCACTCTGATTTTTTAACATGAAAACGTATTTGATTAGATAACGTCTCATTTGCATGTCTAGTAATTTTTGGGAAAACTTCACGGAAGTACTTTTGTAAGAATGTAAGTAATTAACTGGAGAAGGTTCGCTGTGATGTCTGTATACCCTAATCACCCAGTGCTTTGCTTTAAGTGCTTCACATAGAAAAACATAGCTCTCTT